CACACCCACGTGCGCGGGCGACACACGCGGTCTCTCCCGTGCACCGCCCGCAGGTGAGCGCGGGAGGCACACCCGCTCACCAGCACCTTCGCAGCATGTTCACGCGCCTTCACGCCCGGGTGCCTGGATACTCACACGTGCAACACACACACACGCTCAGGCCCACCCACACACACGCTCCCACGGTTGTTTCCTGACCCTGCAAGCTCTTCACACACACGTTTCCCCCGAGCCTCTTGACTTGAAACAAATTCCCACCCTGCGGGGTTGTTTTGCAAAGCAGACGGGATGCCCAGCGTTGGCTCCGAAGGGAGGGGGCGGGGAGCCGGCTCCGGTCACTTGGGTCGCAGCATTCAAAGGAAAAGTTAGGAGGTTCTCAGGTCCTGCTTTTCAGTACTCAGTTCTTCACTTTATGAGTCTGCATCTTTTTATAAACCCACGAAAGTCTCATTAACCTCACCTCATTTGCATATAGTTTATGACCCCACTGATTCAATATATCACAGGTCAAGAAAGGCCCGCTCAGCAGAGGTTCATTTAGTTAAACTTACCAGGAGTCGGTGGCTGAGAGTCCTGTTCTTTGCACACTAAAATACTTTCCTGTATTTCATCTCCACCAGAAAAAAAATAATGGCATACCGCCTGGCCTAACTTTTAGAGTGACCGTGTATAGAAAAGCTGGAGTATTATCTTACTTTGGGGGAAATGTTTACATTGAGACATGTCTGGCTATTCTAAACCGTAGCCAAAAGTACAGGGCCCTATAAATCCAGTTCAACCTAGACTGTGGTTTCCCCTAAGAAGGTCACCACATTGCAGCTCTTTCCTGGGAAAAATGAGAGAGAGAGAGAAATGGAAAAGGGAAGAAAATTAGATAAGGAAGGAAGAAGGGAAACAATGGGTAAGAATGCAAAAGAAGAAAGATAACTTTTATTTAAAAACATGTTGTACGGATACCTCAGCAATGAATGCTACACATACACTTACTCAAAGTCACAAATCTTAAGTCCAAGAATCTCTCGATTCATTCCATTTGCTGAGAATGTGTGAAACTTCCTGAAGAACCTCTAAGCCCCTTATAAGTAAACATTGTTTACTAAACAGTCATTAGTAAACAAAACATAGTCGCCATGTATGATTTGTGTAGTAATCTAGAAAGGACAAGAAATAAAGCCTTTAGACACCAGAAAACACAATGAGATAGACAATTCTGTTCTCAGATTGAGCTTAAAAATCGCCCACCTTGTGAGTGTCTCAAACGCACAAAGAATGCGGATGAGTCTAGATGCTATTAGTTGAGACACAAAATCCATTTGACAAAGGAGCTCTACTAGGTAGTTGCAACAATGTGCTTCTTCTAACATCTGGGCTAAATAAAGTTTATGAATTAGTCTAGAAATGAAAATAATGTTCTATATCACATCTATGGAAAAAATACTTTCCGCATTCTAAGCAAGAAAATAACAAGCTTAGATTGCAACGTATTCCAAACTGACTACAAAAAACGTAACTTTCATAAAGTTAATTATGACCCTTGGCCTAAGTTCTGCTGAACGTGTTCTAGAATAGGCCCTGTTAAGATTAGATCAGCCACAATGTCTTAGAATCTAAAGTTACTGCTTATACAAATAAGTCACTCTTTCTCTTATATCTTCCACAAATGGAGAGGGGCTGTTGAAATAATATAATGATCAACATTAATAAAGTACTCTTTGGACAAGTTGAAATGCAAAGCCAGGGTATTTAAAAAGAATTTGCCAAAGAAACAACAAAGAATCCTTCCCCTAAAAGCATGTGCTGCTGAACTTAGTGCTGGGACAACATGCATTTTAAGAAATTATTCTATTTCTAACCTTAGGGCTGGAATGATATGAAACATATAAAATGTCATTTGTTGGAGACTGTCATGCCTTTTTGGATTATAAAAGTGTATGATTTTGTTGAACTGTTGTAGAGTATAGCATTGCCTGAGAAGCACAGCTGACATCTTCACCAACAACTCATATAAAACAATTTGGAGCATTACTATTAAACGTTGCTGATGGCACCAAACAGAGGTGTTACTGCACTGGGAAGATGCTTTTCCAGAGTTATAAAACTGGATGGCTATGGGAAGCAATGCTGTCTCAAAAGATTATCATTCTGAGAGGAAAGGACACACATAACCACATTCTAAATAGATCAATTTAAAAATAAGCAAGTAGACCTGGCCAGTGTCCTCAGTGATTAGAGCGTCCATCCATGCACCAAAGGGTAAAAGGTTCTATTTCCCATCAAGGGCACATACTTGGGTTGCAGGTTCAATCCCCAGCACCAGTCAGGACTTGTACAGGAGGCAACCAATCGATAGATATCTCTTTCACATCACTGTTTTTTTCTCTCTCTCCTTCCCTTTCTCTTTCTCTCCCACCCTCCCTTCCTCTCTCTAAAAATCAATGGAAAAAATATCCTCGGGTAAGGATTAACAAAAAACAAACCAAAAAAAAAACCACAAGTAAATAAAATAAAATAAAAATAAATACCTCTGTGTACAAGAAAAGAACAGAAGCACAGCCCAGCAAGGGTTTGGAGGCAGAGGTTTGCTGACTTCAGAGTTCAGAGCTGACAGGATGGCTAGGTGATAACAAGAAATGAAATAATCCCTGAGCAAGGCAGGAAAAAGACCTGTACACTCTGCTTGAAATCACGAAAGTACAGACCAATATCACCTTTAAACATAGGTGTAAAATCCTAAATAAAATATTTGAAAATCCAGTTATGTATTTTCAAAGATTTTATGATCAATGGGTGTGTTTTTTTCAGGATTGCAAAATGAAAACATCTAGCATTTTTATATATTAAAAGAGAGAAAAGGCCATATGTCATCTTACTAAATGCAGAAGAGTGGTATTCAATAAAATTCAACACTCATTTACTAAAAATAAACAAACAGAAAACACCATTAGCCATCTAAAAATAAAATGGAAGGCCCTAGTTTTGCTCAGTGGTTAGAGCATCAGCCTGAGGACTGAAGGGTCCTGGGTTCAGTTCTGGCCGGGGCACATACCTCAGTTGCAAGCTCGATTGCTGGCTCTGACAGGCCCTGGTCGGGGCCAATGAGGGAAGCAATCAATTGATGAGTCTCTCTCACATCAATGTTTCTCCCTTTCTCCATTCCACTCTCTCTGAAAAGCAATGGAAAAAATATACTCAGGTGAGTATTAAAAAAAAATTAAATGGAATGCTTTTTATCCAATCAAGGATATCTATCAGAAGTGTCATGTTTAATGGTAAAATTACAGCAACCACTAAAGAACAGGACAGAAATGCTTGCTATAGTCCCAGTTCAACATGGGATAGGAGATCCTAGCCAATACAATAAGTCAAGAAAAATAAAATGAGGCATGAGGATTGCAAAGGAA